TAAGGATCTTCAGAGGTCTGCATTAAGTTGTAACATACCCCAATGATCGATGCCTTAAGGCCTAGTGAGCCTGGATTCCAGTTTGTTCCAGTAGATATTCAACCGGTTTAACTCCAGATACAGTGATAGTCTCCGCCTCGCAACCTATGCCCGTTTTTTACATTCCTATTTAAAAAGTTAAGATTTAAAATTGGAACATTGTATCGTTTCTTCTACTTTCTATTGGTTAAGTGGTTCCAAATATGTAATTTTCTTAATCTTGTATCAAATCTGTGTCATGTTCGAAATGAGATAATTACGAATTAAGAATTCTTCTCTTTTAAATACACAATAAAAATTAATACAATAAATAAGAAAGAGTAACTATGAAATAAATTTAAAAATGTTATACGTATTTGAGTACTTATTTTTTATAATTAACGTATAGCAATAGATAGTGTGAAGAACAAGAGTGCTCAAGTATGTACGAAAATATCATAGCAGGATGATCAATGAAAATGGCAATACTCCAAACATAACAGTGATGTGTTTACAAACACTGGTTAAGAATAGTCTGTTATAAATTAAATTATCTCATATAACGATTAAAATATTATACTTTCTATATAAAAATACATTTTAAAAGTATAGCCTAATATAAAGTCGAATACTTATTGAATCAGCTCACGTTCTTCCAATTTATTTTTTTGGTATCAAACATAACCAAATAAATATAATTGTTATGAATATAAATTAACTTCTGGTTGTACGTCACGCGGCATCGCCTAATTAAGGCGACTACCTCAAGCCCGCATGCAAGCACGCGACTTTGATATTGCGACATCACTTTCACTTAACCATAGCGGATTTGCATTTTCTATAATTTCAATGTAATGACATCCTGCTGTATTTATAAAAAGATTTTAATGCGTCTTATTTAAACATAATACATAATATTTATTTAAAATTAACTTAAAGTGTGCCATTTATTTGTATATCAAAAGACGCGTGCCCGTAAGTAGTAAACAATTATCAGGATTCCTTTTTCTGTTCTTGGAACAGGTTCATAAGAATTGCGTATCGCTTTTTTTTATGTTGGTATCACTGATACGTGAAGCGTGATACTAAATAAAGATAAGCCTACACTCGTAAAACATTATTTTAGTTGTAAAATTGTTTATTCACTACTTCACTAGTAAGTGACATTTTAGAGCTTAGATTTGCTTTATTTTTCTTTTGCACTCCTGTAAATATATGCTGTTGTAGCTTCATCTTAGATATTCTCCATATTTACTAGGTTTTCTCGTAAAATTCAATTTTAAAAGCTGGTACAGACAAGTTTATTGCAGTTATAGTGGTTATCTGATTTTAAAATTAATTTCAAACCGTTCATCAGAACCATTTGTCTTCTTGTAGTAAGTGATCCGATGATATGCTATTTCCTCAGTTATGTGTTCATCGTATAATGTTAAAGTACAACATGTAGGCGTTCTTCCTCATTGAAGGTAAATGTCATAAGTAATATTGTCTGGCAAGCGATGCATTTGATGCAAAGAATATACCAGAATAGAAGAAATAAATATCTTAATAAATACGATTTATTTCGAAGGTAATGAAACCGTTTTGGGAAAAAATCGCTAGACAGAAACGAGAAGTTAAGAACATATTGATAATTAATGCAAGCTTAACTAAGATAGAATTATCGATTTGGAATTAATAAAGTTATTATAATTTTTCTTTTATATATTCAGATCGTATTTATTATTCTCATTTTAAAAGAATTCTACATGGTAATTTTTATTCAAACTTTATTTATTGAAGGTTCTTATAAATTAAAATTGTATGCTCAATAATAAATATTTTCTATATTAACAAAATATTTAACAAAACCTTGGTAGCACGCATGAGAAAATACAATTAACGAAACAATAATATGTTGAACTAATTAAATCAAATTATTAATTGCCGGAATCACTGATGTCCTTTATTTTTATGAGGAAATAATTATTGTTCAAAGTGAATTGCATTGCAGTGATTTTATTTATTAACACGGAAATTAAATTGCAAAATGGCGCCAATGTCTTATGTCACAACTTTGTTATGAATCGATTATCGAGTTACTATATAAGTTATAATCTTAAGATTTATTTTTTGAATCGATATAGGTTCTGAGAAAATAAACGGTTATATTTTAAAAATGTTAACTAACCGACCGGTAACTAAACAATCAGGAATCAATTAATGATGAAGCAAAAAATATTTAATTGATTTGTTTGATGGCAATTGCCATAATATATGAATGAAAACTATGGTGTGGGTGACAATGGTGAAACAGACCATGTATGTAGATACAAAATCGCAACAAAACGTTTGTTGTAGACATAACGATCTATAGGACGGAACGTGTGCTATGTTTGAATACCAATGTTTGAATATCAACGGATATCTGTTGGCTTTATCTGTGATATGTTTGATGTTGTGGATAAAGAAATGTGTCACGAATTAAGGTACGGTAAGTTTAAAAATGCCATCCGTCCTCAGTTATACGTAAACATCGTGTTCATGCTATGTTCATTCGAAATGATATATTATTTAAGGTATCTTTCTTTGAAGATCTTTTAGAATGTTAGGACTACAATAGCTATACTGTTTTTACCTGTCTCTGTGTTTTGTCTGGGAGAATCACTGATAGTTCGAATGCTCTATTTTTCTTTTCACGGCTGCCAGACCTCATCAGCTTTGAGGAGGTGCGCGTGATGCTTTGCGCTTTCTCCGGCAACTTCAGCGCAACAATGGACATACTGCGCGAGAGTCGCCGGCCCAGCTTGCGCGTCCTTAGCGACATGGACCCGCTCAGCCCTCTCTTGCGAGGCTCCTGAACGCTTTCCTCTACACCCACACATTGCTCACTTGCACCAGCCATTGCAATTAACTCTACAATAACAATCACATTTCCGTCTAGACAAAGTCACTAGTTCGACACCGAAAGTTACGAGAAAGTTAACACTGAGTCATCCGTAAATCCGTAATTCACTGCACTTCAAGTTTATCCACATCGTAACACCAAAGCAATATTGGACGGGTTGCACGATTCGAGTGGGTCCGTTTCAGATCATATGGTCACGGAGCCGGTTTGAAGATCGTGTGTACCTGACGCGAGAAAAAAATTAAAACACTCAACATCGGACATCCAAAGTAAACAAATCTGTATGCACAGCTATATGCGAAACTCGATGTATTGCGTTTAAATAGGGCGCGTTATCGTAGAGCTTGTTATTGCGGAGTATGTAACCGTGCGACGTGCTAACGGGGCGTCGCGATTCCAACGACTAGAGCGGCTCAGTAGTCGCTCTCAGGTCTGTTGCGTGCAGTCCGCGAGCCGCTTGCCGCCCCCGCCGCCTGACATCGTCACAGCTAGACTAAAATCCAATTACTTATCGAATACTACAGCACTAAATGCGACATTGAACAAATAGCCTTTGTCTGTAACAATGCGGAGACCAGCGCTCCCACGAAACGTTTGTACTGAATCAGGACGATCTCAGTTAACGGGATGTCATCTTTATATCTAACGTAATGGCTTTTGTGATTTTAATTGTTATAGACGCTCATATATGACAGAATAAATATATCATGATCATTTGTATTAATAAATATAGTGTGAATAAGCTCTGTATAAAATGTCGTTCCAACTATTTTATTCAAGGTAAACTTGTTTCATGATCATTAATCTATGAAATAAATATTCTAGTATATAACATTTTTTTCATTATTTAACTTTAAATCTCTTAAACGCTTTCATCGTTATTTTTAATTGCTGCCCGTAAGTGTTGCAGAGCTCATAATATCTGTAATTAATGTCTATTAACACACGTCACCAAGTTAACGCTTTCTTTATAAGGCAAGGGCAATTAGACTTTCCTTTATTCCTTGTAATTTGATATAAAAAACAATGTGCTATTAAAAATTAAACAGTAGTAAGACTAGTATACCTTTTTTTATTATGTATGCTATGGCTTTATTACATGTATTTTTATAGTGTATTTGATGGCGGCAAAAAGTTTCTATATACATATAAAATGACATTAAACGTCTAGTAGGGTAAATTCAATCAAAATGTGACGTTTTTGGAAATTATTTTTGTACGCATAATAAACAATAAATGTTTATTCTAAATATACATTTATAATAACTAAGAGTATTGTGTAAGTAATTTATAATTTACATGTAGAGTCATTTTTAATATCAGTACTATTTAATTTTTGTTATAACGGACAATATTCATTGACAATTACTATTTTGAGGTAGGAAACCTTGTATGGATTGTATTATAGAAGACTTATCCGCTTCGAAGAAAATTATATTAAAAATTTGAGCGTATTTATAAAGTTATTTTTAAATAAGTAATAAACTAAGTGCAATCAATTATTTCATGAATTATTATGAATGGATTTATGACATTTTCTTAATTGTATAAATACGTAGGAATATTGAAATAATAAATACAAATAGAAACATTTGTATGTGTGCGTATCAGTAATTCATGGTCCGATCCAAATTATTTGGATGACCTACATATTGTAATTATGTTGCTATGATTCTGGACTAATAGACGCTTATCACATGACCTGTAGATACGGAACCAAAAGCGATTTAAACTAATTTAATTAATTTTACTATATAATGATATTAGATATATTTAAATTATTTATTTTGACCACCGTTCCTTGTTTTGTGTGGTTAATGTCACAATGTACGTGACCTTCGACAGCACTAGCCCAGCGACTTTCGAACAATAAATACAATACATTACCTACAAGCGTGTGGTTGGTTGTGATATATTTCTTTATTATTAAAAATAATTATAAACTCCTTTATAAAAAATAAATAATGATATACCTAGTTATAAAAGAACAATTACACATAAAATATATTACATGTTTGATATTTGATTATCCCAATTACATATATTCTTTTATTCTATCAAAAGCATTCCTAAACTGAATTTATTGAATTGCAGAATGACCGAAACAGCTTGGAGAAGAAATGTCGATTGGAAGGCGCGTTATTCTAAACTGTATTCGTCACGAGGCTTATCACAGTAAGAATATCTATGAGTAATCACTAATTGATACTTTTAATTTAAACCGACCTGTAATTTAAACTAGTCCATCGTTCTCAATGTATCGGATTACATGAATAGTCTAATTAATTGATAACCCGTATCAAAAATGCTTATAGCTGAAAAAATTGATATCATTTTTGTTTATGTAATAATAATATATTAATAAATCAACATCAAAATTCGTGGTACTATAACCAAGGCCTTTTAACTAGTACAATAAAACCTTTTGAGTCACATCGTGAGTCACGCTTAGAGAAAAAAAATGGACGCAGCATCACAGTTTCATTGAAGATAATTCAATGAGTTCAATCGTTAACCGCAAATATTAATATTTTGAATGTAAATTTCTTGTTATTTTATACTTTAAAGTACAATATTATAACCTATTGTCGACAAACAAGAGGTAAACCTAATTGCTTATAAAGTTTTTCGTGTTTTATGAATCACTAAATCATTGTTCGTAATAAGGATCACTGAATCCCTTTGTGTTATTATAATAAATGAATTCTCCTGAGTGAAAGCGAAATGCATAAAAATATTTTTATATTACTTGAAAGTATGTGCTATAAAAAGACGATAATTTATCACAAACTTTATCATATATATATATATTATTCGATAGAAAAGTTAGAAAACACTGTTGCAAATCAAACATTCGTAGAAATACTTATACTTATTATAGGCAAAAACGTAATGTAGTCAAATTTAATGTTATTAATTAGAAGTAGCATGGTTTCTTTTTAGACTGCAAAACTAAACATTCAAATTTTAGGCCCAAAAAAGAAGAGCCAAGCCGCATATCATTCATGAGTAATGAAACGACTCCGTACGCGTCTCTGCTGATGAAAATTCACGCTAACCGCCGCGAAAATTCAGACTTACAAATAAATTCACCCGTTGGTCTAACTTCACTGATGTCGGAGAACAGTGGAAGCTATGAATCTCAAATGTTTGTATTTCAAACCAATTATACATACATACGTATAGTGCGTTTGATTTAAGCTGAGCTTTGCATTTGTGTGAGTGCACACGGATAGTGTAGGTGTGATGTCAAATTTTTGAATGCCACGTTCTTTTCTAGTTTTGAACCGGTTTATTCTGCTTTTACTACGCCCCGCACCTTCCTCACTTCACCCTTTGTACTGGTAGCAAAATCAAATGTTGAAAACGCAATGTCAAGTTAAGAAGAATTTGTAAAATTTTTTCAAAAATTTTATTAATTAATATTTTTTTTCTATAATATTCATTATATTTCCATCTGGCCTTTTACAAGTTTCGCTTATTTTATAGCACTTATGTTATGTATCTATTTAAAATATAATAAAATTTAATTCTAAAAGTTTTTTGTCTAGCTCTTCCTTCTTTTACTTTCACTCACACAAATGCAAAGCTCGGCTTAAGTCTAACGGACTATATTTTAATTTTGATAATTGTATTTTGAATTATTGGAATTAAAGTATACTATCAATCATATAATCATTCATTCATTAATTCATAGTTGTTCATATAATCCAGTCCATTGAACAGAACATCACTATGGTAGCAAATGGCAGAACTTAAATACCGGTTTTGTGACCATAACACTTATTTGTAGTTTGTACACACTATATCATAGAAGACACGTGTCTAATAAGCAACTATTAATTTATATAAGCACTAGTTACACTATGAAAACACTGTTACGATTTACAACAATGTTTTATGTTTTGTCGCAACACAAAATTTTATCCTCACATCATGCTACAGAGTTCAATTGTTAAATATTAAATTATTTACATTGCTCGTACAAAACAATGTATAAAACTGTTTCTTCTGATTTATTTACAGTTCTTATAATTAATCAATCATCTTATCTCTCATATATTTATTATTTACATATATTTGAACACGAGTTTCATTATAAATCTCACATTATTATTTCAGTGAATCATTTATATACAGCATGATGAAACATAAATAAATTCTTAGTTTGTTATCGTTTCACACTAAGCATGTATTATTATCTTAAATATTTGATTTCATATATTTGTAACACTACTAAGAAATACGATGGTTATGTCTGTCACAGCGAACAAAGCTATGTACATAATACATATACATAATTAGTATATACCTAATATACATCTCGTCTGCCCGTGATCACGGTTGCTTGAAAGTAACCGAACCTCGGGAGTATCTAGTTTTTAAAATAATAAAATACGAGTAGTATAATCCGATAATATTAGTTTCATTTTAATGAATAAGTACCTACTCGTAAAAATCTTAGATCTCTTTACACACATCTCTTTAAAAAATTTAACATTTCGTTTTTAATACATATGTTATTTTTAAATTATCTATACAACTTTTTGAGTATATTATTTTTAAAGGTTAAAATATAACGACTTGGGAGGAAACGATACCACACTCCTAGACATGGTTCGATCAAGAAGTTGCGAAGTTGAAGACGAAATTCGAGATGAAATACAGCCTCCGCCACGCGATGAGAGCCCTGAATAGTAAATATAAAATATAATTTCAATAAACAAAATGAATAAATTTTAACTCAACTTTAAACAAGTCAATCTATCAACCGTCTAACCTTTTATACATTTAAAGAAAATATCCGAGATAGGAACTCTGATGTTGTGCTCACAAAATTATGAACATTCGTCCCTTAGAAACGAAAAATCTAAAAAAAAATATAACGATATATTCCATTCAGTGTCAACCATTTATTAAACGCCCTAAAGTTGGGTAATATATCTTTCTTATCAAGACCAAAACTTTGTCAATAGATATTAAAACGATTTAACACAACATTATAGTAAAAACTATTTGACGTCACACATCATAACACTACAGAAAACATTTTCCCCTCGACTTTCACTCTATTCAATTAAGTATATAACTAAAGCCTTCTCACACTATGCAATGTATCAGTCAATGGTCGCTTGCAACATTATCACAATGAAGTTTTACGATTTTGCAAAATGTGAGATTTGTTTCTTCGTGAATTTTATGCTAAAAAGTTTGTTTTTTTTTTTTAATGTAGAAGATGTAGAGAAACCAGACATATACATGACAATAATAAATAGTATGATGATTTATTTAAATAGGTTCTCTTGTTGAAAAATGAGTAGAAAATTAATAAAATTAAAAAAGCAAGGATTTAATTGTTATCTAATATTTATTTTGTCACGAGTAAGGGATTTTAAACGAGTAATCAAAGGCTAAAATGCTTAACATCATTTTGGAAAAGAACTGATATTGTTACACTGGTAGACCGAAATAAATTAAAACTCGCTTTAAAACTGGCTTTCCAGTGAAAAAAAGCATTGAAAGGTAAAGTCCTTTGAGAATTACGTTGAAATAGATAGATTCAAAACACACAAGCATACATACCTTACGATATCAAACTTATAACAACGCTCTTTTTACGTCAGGTGTTAAAAACACTTAGAACTTAAAAAACTTAGTAAAATATAAAAATAGAGGGACTAATATACATGATATAAAGCATTTTCGTTCATTGTTAAATACTTAACATAGTAATTGATTTAAATTTCTAACGTATATTAATTGCTTAATGCTTTTTATATCCTTCATTATAATCTAAGACCAAAACATAATTGAAATAGTAGCAACAATTAAATACAAATACAAATATTGGTTCGGAATAGTTTTCTAATCATCTATTCTATCTATCTATCTATCTATGTATCTAACAATATGTTTTAAGTGATAACCCATCGGAATCCTGTGTTCACGGATTTATCTACCGCGTTCCGGAACGGAGCGTGTCCCGATCGAGGTCCCGCGTCTCCCGGATGTCAATGAGACGGGACATGGACATTCCATCCATACTAGCGTTTACCGCTTCACCGACACCCTCGCCGGTGAATATATTATAATATCAAATAACATCCACCATTATTATTCTTCTTCTACCTAGCAATTTCCTAGCTTTAGCCAGGGTCTGCCTTACGTGTTGTGAATAGTTTTGGCTAATTGTTTTTACGACCGGCCGCCTGCCTGACATCAAACCTCTTTGGGAAAAATATCCACCATTATTAATATATTATTATCAATATTCTCATACATAAAGTTATTGAGCTATCTTTGAACATTTCCAATACGTGCTATTACGTACAACCGTAAACAAATTACATTAATCTTGTTTTTTAAAGAATGTATATCGCTTATTATGTAGTCGTTAATATGAAAATATTCTATATTGCAGATGTGCCTTGGTATTCCGGCTTTTCAAAAAGCCAAGCCTCAAGGAGTTGAAATTCCACGTTGGTCTATACGACGATCTGTTTGTCCGGTCTGTTCTCAGAAATGGAGGGACAAAAGCTCTGTAAAAAATATAAAATATTCAGGTGAGTAAAGTTATTCATTATAACTGGTAGATAAAACGTTAATGATTAGAAACGTATAAACGGGAATCAAAGTAAATATTTATCTTTACAAAAGTGCTTCGTTCAGTGTGCGTGTTTATTGTTTACAGATAGAGGTAGCGTAATATCTATTAAAATGATTCAAGATTAGTCACTATGAATAATTCTTTCTTTTAAATGTAGGTTTGAAAAGAAATATATCGAACGAACTTCCATCCGTTAAAGCTCCAGCTCGAATACGAACATCAGCCAACATGGAATAGTAAGTATTTTAATAGCATCATTTCCACAACTAATTTGTGTATATTTTTCTAATTGTATTGTCTATAAAAAAGTTCATTGCTTAAAACTATACAGCCACTGACAAAAAAAGAAACTTTCTTAGATGCCTCAACTTATTATTATTATTTTTTAAATATGGAATGTTATTTTCTATTTGCCAGTATTCCACGTCCTGTGCCAGCTGCTCTAGATCAAGAAGCCGGTATAGTACAGGGTAGCCTCCGTCACGGCAGCGCTTCCTGGCTATTGACAAGAGCCCGGCGATTCAGAACACCCAAGCTACAAATGCCACCGCCTGAAGCGACAGCGCCACCTAGTTGTAGCGCTCCTCTTGCTCGGAAAGATCTAGAACTTCGTGTTTCACAGTTCCTTTCTGATACATTTAAGCTATGATCGTAAATGTATTTAAGATTGTGCATATAAAAATCCCAAAAAAAATATGAAAAGTTCATATGGGTCGTCAAAATTGTTACAACGAATAGAAGTCTGAAATATGAAAAAATATAAATGGCTCAACATAACTTGAATATTTCATCAAAATAAATGATCTTCCTTATCAAATTTATTAATTAGAAATCAGTTATTGTTACAACATTAATAAATGAATTACACTATATTTCGTTGGAGTTTCATTGATTTTAAAAATCTAATATTTTCTAAATCCTTGTTTCATAAAAAATATATACTGGGCGTCTCAAAAGTCCTTCGAACTGAAAAAAACCAAGTACAATATTTTTTTTTCCACCCCTACACGGCTAGTCCGCTTTGACATTGCAATCCTTTTCTTTCTGGACATTTTCATTTAGGTTTTCAATTGTTCTGGGGTTTATTTCTCAGATCTTAGACTTAAGGCAACTCTCATAAGATAGGTAAGTCCTTTTGACTAAAATCCGGCAACACTCTGCGCTCCATTTGAATTTACTCTGAATTTAAATATCAAACGACTTATGGAACACCTGTAAAATTTTATAAGCTCTATATATATAAAATCTGATTTATCGAAAGTTTGAATTTTAATTATTTTTATATGATGAAATTAAAATGAAATGTTAATCCATACAGGCTTTATTCCTGACAAAATAAAAAAAGGAAACATCTAACACGATCTATTCCTAGAAAGTGACAATTTGAGTTTTTTAAGTTGTCACTGTCAACATCAAAAATATTTATAATTTACATGACATTTGGAAAAAAGATTTTGTATTATTATAAATATTAATCATCTGGGCCTTACAATTTTACCTCGATAAGAAACTTAATAAAATTATACAGTACACTGCATTTATATTCTGAATTGTACAATTAAAGAAACTATTATACTCCCAATAACACAATGCCATTTTTCCATCTCGTACGAGGTGGATGGAGAAGTCTAGGAAAACCTTCGATCACTTTTCACAAAAATGTAAGAAGTCTAACATCAAAAAACCTATTTTACGCCGAATTTGGCGATCCGCTCCATGTTGTCAGAATGAGAGAAGTTGAGGTGCCTCCACTTAAAAATCAGGAAGTTCTTGTAAGAATGTTGGCGGCACCGGTCAACCCGGCGGATATAAATACTATTCAAGGTACTAAATAATGTTCAATAAACTTAATTTTTCACCACAGAAACTATCATATGAAGTGAAGAATAATTTCTCTTTAATTAATATTATAAATGAAGACAAGATAAGGTATTTTACTTTTTTTTTTATTAAAAGTTGTAAAGTTTGTAGTTGTCTCCTATTACTGTATAATGAAGTTTTTTCCATGTTACTATATATATTTTACTTGTTTTAGGCAAATATCCAGTCAAAATTACACTGCCATCTATCCCAGGTAATGAAGGAGTTGGCGTTGTTGAAAGTGTGAGTGATGGAGTAAAGAACATCTGTCCTGGAGACAGAGTCATTGTAGTTAAACCATTAAATGGTACTTGGAGGGATGTGGCCATTCTAAATCAGCAAGTATTGAGAGTCGTTCCTAAAGACCTTGGTCTAGTCGAAGCAGCTACTCTTACTGTTAATCCTTGTACTGCATATAGAATGCTATCAGACTTTAAAAATGTTAAAGAAGGTCTTGTTGTCATACAAAATGGAGCAAACAGCGCTTGTGGTCAAATGGTAATACAAATATGTAAGGCATGGGGAGTCAAGAACATAAACATAGTAAGAAACCGTCCCGAAATCAATGACTTGAAGGAGTATTTAAAATGTTTAGGTGCAACATATGTTCTCACAGAAGAGGAGTTGAGGACAACAACTATATTTAAAGAAAATAAAATTGATAGACCATCATTGGCATTGAATTGCGTTGGTGGGAAAAATGCTTTGGAAATGGTAAGACATTTGCAGAAATCTGCTGCGGTTGTTACTTATGGGGCGATGTCAAGAGAACCTGTGACCATTCCGAATGCTTCACTTATCTTCAAAAACATATCCTTCCATGGATTCTGGATGACAGCTTGGAATGAGAAAGCTCCGCAGGATAAGAAAGAGGAAATGATATGTGATATTATTAACTTAATGCTCGAAAAGAAACTTAATTGCCCTGTTCACAAGATGGTAAAATTTGATGATTATAAAACAGCTATAGGACAAACACTATCTACAAAAGGTTTTACTGGATGTAAATACTTATTAGATTTCTCTGCTTAATAAAAATACTGGCAAACCTTATTTTAGCAGAGTCTATTTATTCACTGGCTTAGCAAAGCTCAACAGTGTATGTTTTCATTGGTTAAGTTTCAAAAAACAAACCCAATGCTTCAAAAACTTGGCTATAGTTGGATTTATATAAATGAGAGTACTTGACAAATTAATTTGAAATAATGTACTTTATTAGTTATTCTTAATATGTAATATTGTGTATATTAGTATGTATATTATGTATGTGAAATCACAACAGGTTGTTAATGTAAGTTAAAATGTAATAGTGTTATTTAAAATATAAAATAAAACATTTCTTTGTTTTTTTTTTATTGTTTTTATACATTTCCCCATTTTTTAATTATATAAAATTATTTTCAATAAATGTTAATTCAAATGTTAAGAATTAAAAAGTTTCGTAAATGGTATAAAATAGTTATAATAATATTTACAATCCCTGCTTGGTTTGCAGGTAGGAACCCAATTCTTCCCCGTTTACCAAGTATCCCTGGAGATGAAGGTGTTGGTGATGTCGTAGAAATTGGAGAACTAGTGTGTGCTGTAGAACCTGGTGAAAGAGTAGTATTAACATCAAGAATGCTTGGTACTTGGTGCAAATATGGAATTTATAATGAACGAGATGTCCATGTTATTTCCCCAAATATTCCCCTTCCTGAAGCAGCTATGTTAACGATAGCACCCTGTACTGCGTACCGCATGCTGAAAGATTTTAGGAAGATGAAACCTGGAGATACCGTAATACAGAATGCTGCTAATAGCCCTTGTGGTCAATCAGTAATACAACTATGTAAGGCGTGGGGTATAAATACATTGAATATAGTAGCTAGTCATTGTGGTTATGAAACTGTTAAAGAAAATCTTTTGAAAATAGGAGCTACGGCAGTATATACTCTTGAAGAAGCGGAAGAACTTATGGTTTTTAACACATCTGTGACTAGACCTGTTTTAGCCTTAAACTGTTTAGGGGGTAGATTTGAAGATGTGTTATTAAAACTTCTAGATAAATCAGGAACGATTGTATACTATGGTTGTGCTTTTGATATACCCATATGTAAACATATTCTACGTTCTGACGTATTCTTTAATAGATTTCATTTAGGTGCTTGGGATGCTTATGCAAGCGTTCTCGAAAAGGATGTTATGATGAACAGAATAGTTAATTTAATTGTACAGGGGAAGTTTGTAGCTCCTTTTTACCAGCCTTTAGAAATTAAAAATTATATCTACGCATTACAAAACACTGTTCATTGTGAAGCATTTGCTACAACTAATTTTGTCTTTGATTTTACTTTAACATAAGACAAATATTGTGTTTAAAATCACGTGTACTTTGTGAACCTATTTTATTTCATTTGAGATAATCTGTGCCGTGTTAAAAATCAAAATTGTTGTTTGACATTTGACAGTCATAAAATATGAATTTGAAGTTAAATCGATTGTTTTGGTTAATATATTAGTAATGCTAGTTCGAATATAGTTATTCATATAATTACGATTTCTCTAAATTAAAGGTCCTAACTATTAAAAAGACTTTTTCTTTGTTTATAACGTTCATTGATGGACATAGATAAGGTTAGTAGTATATTCTATTAAGTTTCTTTGTATTTTCCGATCATTTCTCTTTTTAATTTCGAGAATAATTCACAGCATGGATAAAGAAACTTATGAAACATATGAGTACCTCGAAGCTGATAGCGGCGACAATGATACAAGCGAATTTTTTGTTGTCCAAGGCGATGGAACGTTTCTTAGTGGTAAGCATTGAATATTACTTTTTATTGACTACGTTAGGCGCAAGAGTTATTTCATTTGAATATTTTTTTAACCAGTAGATAGGCCTATTCAATATGTAAGGCAAGTCGAGAGTGCTAAGGATAATTTGGACGACAGCCAGTCTTGTGCGGTATATGATGTCACACCTCAACAGTTTTATGTTGATGTTGATGAATCCTCTGAACTTATATCAGTTTCAGGTAACTGTGACAAATTTGTATTAAATCTTTTTTCTATACTATATTCAACAGCTATCTCTAATTGCAGACCAATTTATTCTGCCTGGTGGTGACAATAATCCATACTCTAATAGTTTTTTACTACAATCAGCATCAAATAGCAAAGAGGGTCATGTTGAACAGGTTGGTGTTATAAAAAATGTAGATTAATTAATAAATTTCTTGAAATTAGGTATAAAGTATGTATTTACTCAACAAAATATATGACAATAGATGCATCGGAAAACATAAATGTACATGATTCCTATTTTTAATATTTTTCATATACATAATGTTTTATCAAAGACAGAACTATAAAATAAGCAATTTTTTATAGATGGATGAAGACACAATAGAGGACACAAAAGAGGATGTAGCAAATACCACACTATCTGAAGGAGGCAACAACAAAACTAATGGTGATTGTACTGAGGTAATGCATTATAAAATATCATACATTTCATTGGTATCAATATAAAATTAAAATTTTCAACCATTTATTTACACATTGTTGGGGATAGTAAAGATCTGCATAACTACCATTGGATAATTAGTCACGATCACATTCACACACATTACAATCTATACTAATATTATAAAGCTGAAGAGTTTGTTTGTTTGTTTGTTTGTTTGAAAGCGCTAATCTCCGAAACTACTGGTTCGAATTGAATAATTCTTTTTGTGTTGGATAGTCCAGTTATCAAGGAAGGCTGTGGGCTATATAACATCACGCTACGACCAATAGGAGCAAAGATATAGTGGTAAATGTGTAAAAAACGGGAGAAATTATTTCATCTTTGAAGCCTTTCGTTGCGTGCGCCGTGAAAACGGTTCAAGGTACACAAAAAATATGTATGAAAGAATAATAGCTCTTTTAATGATCTAAAAAACAGTCCGCGACGGTATATGTCTATCTTTTAAGATTAACTCACAAAAACCGTTTTTATGGTACCTAATTTGGTTGAAATAATTTGTTTAAGTTGTATCAACATAATAATATTAATCTTTATTCAAATAAACAAAGAAATATGTTGTTGGTTAAGTGTATGTACTTTATTGTGAATAAAAAAACAAAGGTTTTATCCTGAAAATTCTGCGGGAACTCGACAATTCCGAAAACCCCGCAAGAACGGGAACTATGTGGGGAGAACCAAAAATCTGCCGGAAGTCACTATTCCACACGGACGGAGTCGCGGCAAAAGCTAGTTAGTAATAAGTTATCTAAATAATTACTAATTGTGAAAAAATTACCTTAAAAGTCGTTAATATACAAAATATTTCAGCTCAAACTTTCTTCTGATAATTTGCATCCAATGTAGATACATGGACTTATCCAATGGTAGTTATGTGTATTTGCACTACCCCAGATAATACACATATAGGTACATATTTTAATTATGAAAAATACCAATTTCAGATAACATTAAGCGATGAACAATATCAATTATTGAAGAGAAAAGGATGGATATTATTGGAAATAAATGACAAAGTGTTCTTGCTAGATACATTGGGATTACATGATATAACAGCGGACGAAAGTATGTATATCATAGGTAATATAAGTTAATATTAAACATACATATATATATGATTTTATTGTTTTAGAATTAATTCAGAAGCTAAAGAATGAAATTGAAGATGATAACAATGAAGATATCAACCAAACGTAATATTTTTACTCTTCATTAATTAATTAATTAATTTATTTTTGTATTAACATGTCATTGAATAATTTTAGTCCTGTTAAAATTGAAGAAACTTATATTGAACCTAAGTATGAAATGACGGAAGGTGATGAAAATAATGAAGAAGAGACACTTCACTTTATTGTTGAAGGTGATCAAATTATTGCTGATGGTAATTCACAGGAGGTCTCGGAATACTCTGAGAATGATCATGGTATATATAATATGCATAATTTACCTTACTTATTTATATTAATTAAACAAAAATATACTTATTTTAAATTTTTTGATGAATGTTTAATAAATACATTTATATTTACAGAAATATTGCAAGTTGAAACAATAGAGGAGGAACAAGATGAGGCAATCAGAGTTGAACATGACTATGTGCAACTAAATTCTGTGAAAGATACAAAATGCAAAAGAGAGAATGATGTTTTGAGATTAAAAACCAAATTCTCATTCAGAGGTGGGTGTTAATCTATGTATGTAAGAATGAATCCCTTTTTCCCCTGGGCACGTCATCACGCGTGAATGGCTGGACCGATTTCACTAATTTGATATTAGTAAGGCGGCCAACCGACTCGCATTCTGCGGGACCGTCAAGCAATTCTAGACGAAATCCCGCTTTGAAATTATTAGTAAAGTAGTCCCGCAAAACGTTGTATGCGTCCCGCATGTCCCGCATCCCTATTTTTCTACCACACTTCTACATAACACCTATACCACAGTCAACAGTGCAGGAACACAGATTACCTATAATAGCGACAAGCGTATCGCGCCCGCGCTAATCTCGTTTTGTTTCTTTCTTCTGAACTCATGACACGTAGGAGAGTACTTACATTTAATATGGCCAGTTGCGAAGATTTTTATGACATTCCCAATCCCTAACATCCTTCCTCCCCCGCCATTCATAAAAGGTTACGTCCCGCATTCAGTTTTCGGAAAGTTGGCCGCCTTAGATATTAGGGGAAGGTTCTTATGTAAGAAAAATTAACGAAAATTAGTAAAAAAAGAAATAGAATATTTCACTTTTTTATTAAAATAATGTGTCACTCGCAGTAATATTCGCGTAGTTAAAGCATTAGAATAATAAACACTTTGTTTTTGGAATAATGTTGATCTATAATATATCAATTAGAATTAAATAATCACAGTTAAGAAGACAGACCATTGTCTGTCGGGTCATTTATACTTAATAAAGAAATTAACTTCATTCAAATGAAAAGGTAGAGATATTTTTTGATTATAGGGCGGTACGAAGTTCGCCGGGTCAGCTGGTATTATTATAAATATTTTATTGCAATTGTTATATTTTTATTTTCTTCAATTACAGACATTCCATCAGAAATAGTATTGGGGAAAACAACAACGGGAAAAAAATTGGTGGCTAGAGTAGTTAAGACTGAGGCACCGGTGGATCCAAAACAAGCAAATTTAAAACTAGCCCAACAAAATGGACAACAGCAATGTAAAAAAGATATTATTTTATTAAGGAATCTCATTATCATATATATTTATATTGTATTTTATGCTTCAATATATATTAATACAGGTACAACAACTTTAGAAGAATTCAAATTCGAAAATTTAATTCAACAAGCTCTAAGAGGCTATGACACATGTAGTGTGAAGGACATATCAGCGGCCGAGACAGTTGTTGAACAACTACTACGGGTACCAGAATTCAAACCGGCGATTATTGAACGACGATTGATGATTACTAAGGTAAATAACTTACTCACCTAAGTTTTTAAAATTTCTTGAACACTTTCTAGGTTTTATCTGTGGATTTAGTTTTTTTTTTTAAATTAATACACTAATTAAAAAGAAAATAATAAATTGAAGTTGATAATTCCTTTTAATACCTCTTGCTGTCAAAATTTTATTTTAAACTAGCTTTTGCCGCGACTCCGTCCGCGTGGAATAGTGACCTCCGGCAGATTTTTGATTCTTCCCACATAGTTCCCGTTCTTGCGGGGTTTTCGGAATGGTCGAGTTCCCGTAGAATTTTCAGGATAAAACCTATGTTTTTTTTTTATTCACAATGAAGTACTCTTAACTAATAACATATTTATTTGTTTATTTGAATAAAGATTAATATTATTATGTTGATACAACTTAAACAAATTATTTCGACCAAATTAGGTACCATAAAAACGGTTTTTGTGAGTTAATCTTAAAATATAGACATATACTGTCGCGGACTGTTTTTTAGATCATTAAAAGAGCTATTATTCTTTAATACATATTTTTTGTGTATCTTGAACCGTTTTCACGGCGCACGCAACGGAAGGCTTGAAAGATGAAATAATTTCTCCCGTTTTTTACACATTTACCACTATATCTTTGCTCCTATTGGTCGTAGCGTGATGTTATATAGCCTACAGCCTTCCTCGATAACTGGACTATCCAACACAAAAAGAATTATTCAATTCGAACCAGTAGTTTCGGAGATTAGCGCTTTCAAACAAACAAACAAACTCTTCAGCTTTATAATATTAGTATAGATTAAAATTATCTAGTCAAATATCATTAAATTAAAACTGTATTATTAAACCTTAAAATCTATTCACCAATTTAATGAAATTGTTCATTAAACTATTCCTTTCATAGTTGCATGTACGACTCAACAATTACTGACAAAACTTACATGCAATTACAGCATTGCAAAAAGATACATACAAAGTAACAACAAGATTTATTAGTAGGTAATATTGAATAACTAATGTATTTTAATTTCCAGGTGGTTATACTGCAAGACACATCAGGTAACGTGTTCAAGGAGGGCAGGGCAACCCTAGTGACGGGGCGAGCTGTACTCGAGGGTACACGCGGCTGGCGGTTCATGTTCCTGCCTACTATGCTGCCGCGACTGCTTGGAGAGGAAGGTTAAGAGTTTTCTAACAAGTACATGTTTGTATATAGTTTCAAGGGTGTCGTCTATCTATGTGTTGTTTCTATGTATGTATGCATTGACTTATACTAATGGACATGCCGTACGCGTATAATCTGCAGTAATTTTTTTGTTTGAAAAGATTCAGAGAGATGGCGTATGCTTTCGGTCTAGCACTCTCTCTTTCCTCATAGATGATTGGCGCTCAGTCAGTACGGTACTATTTGAGAGAGATAAACATAGACCGAAACCTCGTTTCCTCTCTTTCTTTCGGAGTGCCACAATTCTCATCTCTAAGGCATGTCCATTAGTATAAGTCGATGTATGTATGTATGCTGTTCTTAGATATGAATATATTTATCTATCTGACTTTAATAATGTAAGTGTACATGTTTGTGTATGGCAGGGTATCGTCTGTCTGTGTGTGTGTGGATTTATGTGTTGTTTCTATGTTTGTGTGTATGCTGGTCTAAGGTATGAATATATTATTATATCTTTCTTTAATAATATAAGTAAATTTTATTTTCTATTTCATTAATTTGAAATGTTTTAGACGATGATGATGACGAATTACAAGAAAGATCTGAGGAATTAGATGACGATATTTTCTTGCACATCCATATAAGAGAGACAAAAGATTCTGATGGCATCACCAGAATTTCAATAACTCTTAATAAGAGACGTGAGTATGCAATTTCATAGATATTAATTTACATACAACATAATTATAATACGTTTTTTTTACGTACTTTTTAAGATATTCCTATAAAAACGATGACTGAGATGAAATCTCGCTATCCCAAAACTGTTTTCGCGTGTAGTGCTTGTGCTGCTGTATATAAAACAGAGGAGGGACTCAGGCTTCACCAAGAGGTACGATTTTTGATATTATCATTTTTGCCTTTTTTGAAATAAAGTAAGTAAAACAAACATTATTATTCTTTGTAGACTGAATGTATGGAGACTGAAACACCTCTAACCATAGATGCTGATGACACAAGCAATTTATATAGTGTCATTGGTACTGTTAAAGAGAAGCAATATATTTGTAATCAGTGTCATGTAAGTATTATATATAGAGTTATTACATGGCTACTAATATTAAGAAATGACAAAGATTAAATGATTAATGCATTTCCAGTTGGTATTTAACAAATTGAGTAATTGCCAGCGGCATGTTAAGTTCCATTATAAACAAGATCCGGAGAACTCCAGACAAGAAGTTCCAAAGAAAACTGAAGGTGCTTATAAATGCAAGATGTGCCCGAGTACTTATCATCACGCCGCCACACTGTCAAAACATATTGTATCTAAGCATATTAAAATAAGGTCTACTTGATGGATATATGAAATTATATACTATAGTCATACTTTCGTTTAACTTATTACCACCCTTTTTTTTTGTTCTCCCTAATAATATCACCCGATCAATTAACATTGAGAATTATTAATTGTTAGTTTAATAATATGAAATGATTTCAATTTGAATGAAGGCATATCATAAAAAATAATAATGAGATCCAAGACTTTTGAGTATTCATTTGAATGAAAATTATTAAAGTACACGTAGTAATCATAATAATATTAGTTTCATTTAAATAAAAAAGTTGCCTTGTTTTATGTCACCACAGGATTTAAATCTAAAAGTTTTTAAATTTGTTAACTAATATTTCCAAGCCAACTTTAATAAAATTAGGACAAAAAAATTACTCACTGGGGGAATGTGGTTCCCATTTTTGAATACACCCCATTGAATGAATGTTGAGAATTTTTAAATTTTAGTTTCAAATCCTCTTGTTTAATAACATAAAACTACTTTTCTATAACAATTTAATATGAACTATGCATTTTTAACTTATTCTAGAAGCTGGGAAGAATGTTAACAGAGTATAAATTAAATTGCATTGAATCTATTCCATTAGACACACTCCTTGAAATTCTCTCCATATAGTATCTAAAATTGTATTATAATACATACATTTAAGTAATGTGTTGATAGAAAAGAAAAAAGATACATTTTTATTCATATCACATTTCACTTTAATCTTGAATTTTAGCTGAATTAAATAATAAATTTATATTTCTTGTAATTTAGAACATTTACTTAAAAAATATCATCAGAAAATATGTTATCTAGATCATCTAGTAATTCAAAGTTTTCCTTATTGATGGCTGAATCATTTGGTTCTGAAATAAAATAATATTTGATTATGTAAAACTATCACAGTTAGAATAACATGTTGCACAAATGAATTAATAATTTACCTATTCCATTTCTTTCCATCTTTATAATAGTAAAGGTAGCTTCATTTATTTTTTCACAGTCTTCTGGCAATGATTCATCTTTATCTATCAAAGCTGAACTATAGATAGCCCAGATGTTACTAAGTGTTATATTTAAATAATGTTTTTTGAAAGCACTTCCAGTAGTAAGGACGGTTGGCTTTGTTAAAACTAGAGCACAATATTCAGATACTATGTATGATGAAAAGGCATTCCATGCATCTCTATGAAGTGTGCATTTTATTCTATCTGAAAATGAAATATGAATTGATTCTTTCTATATTTGTTTATAAATAAATTGATGAGAACTTTATGCAAAAATAGATTATATTAGTCTTACCAGTATCATCTTTTATAATAATCAGTGGATCAATTGCAGATCTATCAACACTTTCAATGAAAGCTGTAACAATTTCAGCTTTCTTTTTTTGAAGATTTCCCGCAACAGCTTGTAGTTTGATAGATTTAATAGTATTTATTATTCCTAAGCTTTTTGTGTCTTCTAAAAGTCGCTTCCATAGAGGAGACTCCCAAATCTCATGGCTCAAACAATTTTGAGTGAAATCAATATCCTATTAAAAATATTTAATATTTAAATTGGCTAAACAACGCCCATTAAATCACACAAGAAGAAACAAAAATATTTTTATCTTCAATAATAATTAAATTTAATATCTGTAAGATATGTAATTATACCTGTGAAAGTACTTCTAAATGACCCTCAGAGTCATCTTTTGTCTCCACAAGTGTTCCTGTTAACAAACCAGCTGGGCCAGGAAACTTTCTTTTACTCTTTTGATTAAAGTGACTATTTATAATTTTTCTTTTTGAGTGTTTTGCGGATAAGTTATTCAAAGGTAGACTGTCTTCTATTACTCTACCAGATTTGTTAACAGATACAATATCTTCCCTGTTTTCTAATGTTGACAAACACTCATTTGAAATATTTTTCTCATTTTCTTTATTTTTCGTTGGTTCATTTGAAACTTCTAAATTTAATGCTAAACTTGTCTGTGGCAATTCAATTTGAGATAGAATCTGTAACGAAAATTTTTGTGTTATATTTACAAGAAATAATTTATAACGGTTTACGTAAACATTAGAGAATTTGGTAAACTTGGGTTGTTTGCTGTTTAGTATAGAATATATTACTTATAAAAACTTAGATATCAATACACTGTATAATCACCTCGTCATAATCATCAGACTCGAACATGGCTAATTGTAAACTGATTTAAAAAACGAAATATATAAAAGAAAGACAATATTATATTAATGTATTTTAAAGCTTTAAAAAGATTCAAGTTTATTTTAAAAACTATGTTTTCAGTAACTTGAAGAAATATATCTTGTAATTAATATTTTCATATATTGATAAATTCAAAATTATTGTTTACATAATGTCACATTAGGTCCTTCTACCTACTCTACTATGTATTTTCAGTGGCATAACTCAAGGATTGTCATGTAATCGACAGATGTGATAGATACTAATTTATGGTACAAAATTCATAATAAAATAAAAAAGTAACTTCCTAAGTACTAACTCTTTAAATGATAAATAATATATTGAAGAAGTTTAGACATATCTTTTTAAATTATGTATTCAAAATTTATTCTTTTTAATTTTTTATAAAATTATTATGTATTCTACATGTTCAAGTTAATAAACGTTACTTTTGAATCTTGATTTTATTTTATTTATTACACTACAACTGTCATTACCATTTTAACGTTTTTTTTCTACAAAATTTACTTTTTATTTTTTTAAATTATTTTGTTCTAAAATGTCCGAGTTTGATGTATTTAATCCTTTACAAAATTTTACACTACGTTTTACAGAAGACCAATTGTCTGAAATCATTGACTGGTTTGATAAGGAATCTAAGCCTTTACTCGTAATAAATGATGGGGAACCAATAAATGTTATTACTATAGAGGATTTAAGACAATTTTTAGATTTGAAGAAGTAGAGTATAATATATAATATTTTATTTTAAGTTATTATGTATACAGTATACTGTGCATTTTAACTTTTTCATTCTTTTAGATTCCATAGAAGATCTTTTCATTATCCAAGTTATTTGGAAATAATGAAAGAAGCTGAAAATCTAAATGCGGGAATCACCAGGATGCTTACTGTAGAACAAGTCTTATATATGTTAGACAAATGGATTATAGAACCAGAAATTAAACATGAATTAAAATTAGCTTTTAAGGCGAGTTTAGTAAAAGTTAGTTAAAGATAGAAATTATTTAAGTTGTCAATATTAAAAAGTTCTCTAAATTTCTTTAGGTTTTCGACACAGAAAAACGCAATTTTTTAGAAATCGATGAATTAAGGGTTATTGTTAGTTCGTATGGGGAAGCTTTTAATGAAAACGAAATCAGAGAAATGCTTCGTGATGCAAATGTGCGCGGCGATGGCAATGTTTTTTATGATGACTTTGTTGAAAGTCTATTTAACGTTGCACCCGAATTGTATGACGTAAAGGTATAAAATAACATTAATATTACTACAACCAAACCATAAAATCTTGTTCTGGCGCCAAGGGCTCAAAGTTAGAGATTTCTTTTAATCATTCATAATATTTTGATCATTAAATTAAATGCATGTTATAGTGTTTGTTAAGTACGACGTTACTAAATTTTCATATTATAATAAACCGATATATACCTAACTAAACTGATTAGTTTCATAATAAAACAACAATTAAGTATATATTTATGTGAATTTTCTTACATGTTCTGCAAAAAAGAAAAAAGAAGTCAGTGGTACTTTAGTTTTAAGAAAACATTTACATACGTCAATGTTTATACGTACCTAAATAAAATGTACAATGAAAATCAATGCAAAATGATGTCTATAAAATATGAACCTATTTTGGTTTCGTTAAATTGAAATAGGATCACACGGGCCAGATAATAAAACTAACTATACGTTATTAATTATTTCAAATCATAACACTTTATTTTTGCTATTTAGAGCCTATTCTTTGTGTAAAATCTGTGCTATCTTTGTCCAGTGACATTTGTTGATTACATTTTTAATCCTTTAAATGAAATGATGTAAATAATATTGTGGTTTTGTTAGACTGAATATTTATATGAAAACGCTGATGAAGATCCTTCTGTACCCCCTGAGCCAGTTCCAGAAGAAGAAGAACCACCGGCGGAGCAAGGAAAGATTCCAGCTGCGACGGCAGGAAAGAAATAATAATAAAACATTTTTGTCATTGGAACGTAAATAAATTCTACTGATGTTTACCTCGATTATTTATTTTTATGACAGACTACGCTGTTATTTAAAATATAGATGTAATAATACGTAATTAATACCTTTAAACACTTTTCTTATTATACGTGTTGGTATTATCATTGGGACATGCTAGCTTACAAGTAATACTTGTATTTTTTTGGTAACTTTTAATTATCCTATCTGTTTCAATTGCCAATTTTTCAATATTTTAAAGTAAGTACGTGGCAATAACTTATAGTTTACTATATGCTAATTCAGTACACTATAAACATTGTTCGATAGGAAAATAAAGTTATGTGCAACAAAACCTACATAACTGATCACTTAATTCTCATAGTGTGATTTCTTTAGACTTTACCGTCATGTACACCAAACTTAAAGCAATATTTTTATTAAAATAATCATTAAATGTAAAAGAAATAACGCTTAGCAATTTATTTAAATCTATACACTATGTTTGCCTTGAATCAAACACAATTATTGATCTGTATAATTTTTTTTAATAGCTAAATGCAGTATCTCAGACCCCATTGCTCGTTTAATTTTAGGAGGCCGTAAAAAAAGTAAAGTAATGACGTTTGTAATGTGACATACGTGACATGTCAACTTTAGAAAACCTAGAATATGAATAGGGATTTTATTGTGAAAAATATTTGACTCAACATTTTATTATTATTCTTTTGTGTTAATTTTTGTTCCTAAGAATATTTATGTAGTTTCATGTATATGATATTTTCTACTTATTGATTCTATTGCTTTTTTTCTTTCAAAAAACAAAAGCAATGGATTTAGAAGACAATGCATTGGGTTTGACCCAGGAACAAACTGAAAAAATGTTGCAATTCCAAGACCTTACAGGCATCGAAGATATATCAATATGCAGGGACGTATTACAAAGGCATCAGTGGGATTTGGAGGTGTGTGAAAACTGTTATTTTTTTTAGGTCAACACCTTTCAAGTTTTGTATGATTAATACCAAGAACCGTTTTTGGACTAGTGATGCTATAAATAGGATAATCTAAGATATTATTTATAATGTTGTTGCTTGTAGGTTGCAATACAAGAACAGCTCAATATTAGGGAAGGTCGGCCATCAGTATTTGCTACAGAAGCAAGAGCTCCTCCGGTAGTACATGATCACATTGCTCAGCAAGTTTTTACAGATGATGGATCAGAAGGGCCTGGAGGAGTGAGGGGACTTTTCCGTTATGTTGTCAACTTAGTTGTATCAATGTGTTACAGCACTATAACTTCTGTATTGAATTTGCTGCTAAGTTTTGTAAGAAACGATGATAGAAGATGTGAGTATTACTTGATTTTGACTCCTGTATTCATAATAAACACAATTTGAGGGTACATATAAAATTAAAAACTTTATAATCTATTAATTACTATCCAATTTTTTTATATAATGATGTATAATAAAATGGATTTTTAACTTATAAAATGTATTGTTAAATGATATAGCACACAAATTTAGCTTTTAAGTACTTAGTATGTAATTAGCAAAAAATTTTGTTACATTTATATAATTTTTTCCTTTTTATTTTGTAGTGGTTACCGACCAACTTGGTGATGTTATGGGTTTTATAAACAATTACACATCAAGATTCAGCCCACATCCCGTGTTCTACCAGGGGACTTATGCACAGGCTCTCAATGATGCTAAGAATGAGCTGAGATTCTTAATTGTGTATCTGCATTCAGAATCGGCAACAGAGACACAAAACTTTTGCAGGTAATTTAAATTTAATTTTAATTTATCAAATTGTATGTAATAATGTTTAACTAAAACTAATATTATCAGATTTATCCACTTATAATGTAAAATTTCATCTCGTCCACCCATGATAATAGTTGCTGCAAAGTAAGGAAATAATTAGGAGAAAATGATAAAAACGTGTAGTAAATCCGAAAATATTAGTTCTATTTAAATGAATACTTGCGAAAGTCTTAAATCTCAAAATGTTCTCATTTCATTTATTTTTCATTACTTTTTGGTTTTTGTTATTTCAAGGAGAGAATGATAATGAAGTATGCTTTGATCTTATAGGAGATTTAATTTCTAGGTGTAATGATGAGATATTTTATATCATTCATATTAAAAAAGGTTCAAAAGTTTTGGTGTCTAAATATAAGATTCAAATTGGAGCCCGTTGCATGCTATACAAATAGTTTTGTTATGATATGCAAGTTTTTGTATATCAGTTTAAGGCATTGGACTTAATTTATTTGTTTAATCAGGTTCACTGAAGAAAATCCTACCAGGATTTTGATTATTTTATTTGAGTTAAATAAAACAAAATAAATGTTTGTTATATGAAATTCTTGATTGTGTTGTTTATATCTTAAAGAATAGAATGAATACATATTTAGTGTAAATATAATTTACTTTCAGAACAACACTCGCTGACCCTGATGTAATACAGTACATAAACACACATGCCCTGTTTTGGGGTTGTTCCATTGATACTTCAGAGGGTTGGAGAGTAGCTCAGTCTGTGGGGGGTCGCAGATATCCCTTGATGTGCGTTGTATGTGTGAGAGACCATCGTATGACGGTGGTAGCTAGGAGTGAAGGGGCTTGCGCGCCTCAACAGCTGTTACAACGACTACAAAGAGTCGTTACTGAGAATGAGCCACATCTCGCCGCAGCTAGGGCTGACAGGTTATAATAATAACTATATATATTTCGATTATACCATTTAAATGCAAATTTGTCAAGTTGTTAATGTTTTAACCCTTTAACGGTCATAAGGAGTGGACAGTGGAAAAACAAAATTAATAAATTGATGATGGTTAAAGGTATATAACAGAAGTAAAAACATATGTATGTATAAATATATATTTGTCAAACCTTTCATTATCAAACTGTCTATTGACAATCATAAAATTTTACTGAATAAAAAAATATGATCAGTGAACGAAATATCGGTTTAAAAAAAAAATTATGGTGGTGAAAATATCGCCTCTAACTTATAAAGGATTAACATTCAATTGAAAATTAATTTGTATGGTTTTTATTTATTTTAAGTCATGTTAACTGCATATTTAATACTTTCGTCCATCATTGAATAAGAAATATAATTAAATTTAATTTCTTATCTCACCATGTATTGATTGTACAGAGTGGAACGCGAGGTGACGGCGCGTCTGCGTGCGGCTCAAGACGAGGCTTACGCGGAGTCGCTGGCGGCTGATCAGGAGAAGGAGAGAAAGAGGGAGAGAGAGAGAGAGGCCCGGGACCAGCTAGAGAGAGACACACTACACAGACAGATGATGGAGGAACAGCATCGACAACAGGTTACACATTACTATATTAGTCTTACCCTTGAAATGTTATCTTCATTATATCAGGGTTGAACGATTCAAGGTTGCCTCAAAAGGCCTGACATTGGCTTAGGAATTTTTGTAAAGGAATGCGTTATATGGAGATGTTGATATATCATACAATGAAAAAAAATATTTTTTTAATTTGATAGTGCACTCAACTTGTAAGGCTACATGTACATATATTTACATATCAGATGGGATATTATTAGTCATTAGTGATCATAAAATATAAATAAAAACTAAATGGCATTTAGCAATTTATTTTTACAGTCTTTCAAGTATAGTGTTAGTCTATTTGTGTTTTATTATACACTAGCTTTTGCCGCGACTTCGTCCGTGTGGAATTGTGACTTCCGGCAGATTTTTGGTTCTTCCCACATAGTTCCCGTTCTTGCGGGGTTTTCGGAATGGTCGAGTTCCCGTAGAATTTTCAGAATAAAACCTATGTTTTTTTTATTCACAATGAAGTACTCTTAACCAACAACATATTTATTTGTTTATTTGAATAAAAATTAATATTATTATGTTGATACAACTTAAAGAAATTATTTCGACCAAATTAGGTACCATAAAAACGGTTTTTGTGAGTTAATCTTAAAAGATAGACAGATACTGTCGTGGACTGTTTTTTAGATCATTAAAAGAGCTATTATTCTTTAATACATATTTTTTGTGTATCTTGAACCGTTTTCACGGCGCACGCAACGGAAGGCTTCAAACATGAAATAATTTCTCCCGCTTTTTACACATTTACCACTATATCTTTGCTCCTATTGGTCGTAGCGTGATGTTATATAGCCTAAAGCCTTCCTTGATAACTGGATTATTCAATTCGAACCAGTAGTTTCGGAGATTAGCGCTTTCAAACAAACAAACTCTCAGCTTTATAATATTAGTATAGATTTAAGCATTTATTGTGCCGCTTACTCTGTAAATTATATAGATTTCAGTCTATTTGTTTCAAAAGAGAGCAATTATTTATTCATATTATACTATGAGACTTTTCTCTTTCTTGAACAACAAGATTTTTTATATAGTATTTATATATTTATATTGCTGTTATTTAAATTTTGTTTTATAATTATTCAAAGGTGATTGAGGCTCGTGCGGCTATGGCGGCCAATTTGCCCGAGGAGCCGGCTTCAGGATCGTCGGCCGTAGCGTTACTCATACGACTGCCGTGCGGAGAGAGACTCACGAGGAGGTTCTACCTTGTGAATACTACGCAGGTTAGTTTATTGTACGTGTGTGTGCGTTTGTGTGTGTGCGTGTATGTGTGTGATACTTTATGTGTGCGTTGCTAAATGTTATGTGTGGGAACTTTGTAATTGTGAGATGTTATATATAAGACTACTAACAAGATTGTTTGTTTGAAGGTAGTTTGTTTTTGTTTAATTAATTGTTAAAAGATCTATAGTCAGTGGTGGCCTAGTGGTTAAAGGGCCCGCCTCTCGTTGCCGAGGGCGCGGGTTCAAACCTGGCAAGTACCAATGTGATTTTTCTGAGTCATATATACTTTCTGAGAGTATATATGACACCATTGACATGCGGTGAAGGAAAACATCGTGAGGAAACCTGGACTTATAGTTTCGCAATTATAAGTTTGAAATATCTCACCCGTGGTCTCTTGAGCAAGCGTGGTGATTAATGCTCAAACCTTCTCCATGTGAGAAAGAGGCCTCGCCCAGCAGTGGGCTCTGATAGGCTGATGACGACGTTAGAAGATCTGATTCTCTAGAATCTAGATTATCTTTAATATATTGTCTGTGTAAAATTTATATATTTTTCATTTTCAGGATCTTTATAACTTCGTCTTCAGTCATCCGCAGTCTCCCGAGGAGTTTGAGATCACAACTAATTTCCCTAAACGTGTAATAGCCAGAGGTCCGTCGACCTTAACGGACGTGGGTCTCAAGGATCGCGACGTGCTGTTCGTTAATGATACAAACGCATAATATATGATATTAATAAAATAAATACCACAGCATTAACATATTGTTACGAAAGTTTTGTTTAATATTGAGAATACGGCATTTTCGTTTTAATTATTCATGGTTTCGGGAAAATATGATTTTTTTAATGAAAATTTGTGATTTTTCTATTTTTGAATTTAAATTGATATGTAAATAGCAACGTATTCGTATTCTACTCAATAGATATGGCCATTTTGGATGCACTAATAATAAAATTTATGTAATATTAATACAAGTTAGTATAAAACTAACATCAATAGTTCATAAAAATACAATTGATGTTATAACTACCTACACATTAAATTCACAGATACTGCAAAACTTATTAACAAGTGTAGATATAGCCTTATAAAACATCAAATCATTTGAATACTTTGTTAATATGTTCTGTAGTATTTGGTAAGGTCTTCGTCGTATTAAATGAGTGTGTGTTCTTTGTAGAGTTGTGACGTATGAAGTAACAATAGTTTGATCATTGACTTCCTTAACATAAGGCTTAGTTCACACATGTTACATTACTGTAAATTATAAAGATTACACTCGAGAAGTGATAAATTCAATAGGATTTTAAAAAGTTCTTATTGTGACATTTATTTTAATTTGGCAAGTTCGATTTTTTAAATATCTTTTTTTGCATTCTTTGTTAATTCATAAATTGTTGGTTTGCATTATATGAATGCTCCATGGTGGAAAAATGTGTAAATTGTTTTATTCTCTTTTATTACAACAAAAATATATGTAATTTTAAGACTCACTCAGTTTCTTTGTCTACAGCATTCATTAGTTCACTTTATTCATATTTTTGTTGTGACGTTTACGATGAAGTATACGAAATATGTAGAAATAAATGGATTTTGGCGAGAAAAATGATATGTTAATCAAAATTACAAAGATAATTTTTAGTTTGTTCTATATTTTGCCTTGTCTTTGGTCATCATTATAATCTGTTACACATTTGGTATTACATGTGTCTTTGAATGCATATTGTTATGTAAATAAAATTACATTACCAATATTTATTCTCTCACCCGAGCTTGTTAGAAAATACTTTTAAGTCACATTTATTGTAATTTTTTAGACATTTTTAAGTATAATTTTCGCTGCATTTTACTTTGCTTTTGCTTGGAAACAATCCGTTTGTGATACTTGTAGAATGCACCACACGGTGCAGAGGATGACTGCATTTACTTTAATGGAATGTAATATATTGTTTTGTTGTAATATAATGTTCCTTAAGAATTTATATGGTTTTATTGAAATAAAATTCGTACTAAATTTTATAGATCCATTGAGGGAAATGGATGAAATTTTTTCTCCGTGTCATTGCTGTTGTTATAAGAATAATTTAATAAAATACCACTCAATTTGTAAGTAATAATCATAATGACGAAATTCATATTGAAAGGCATATAATGATAAGGTAAGAGCATTAAGTAAATGAAACGAGATTACTCGTCATCTACAATCTACAGTAAAATACCCTTTACGAACTATTAATCATTAGACGGAAAAGCCAGTATTAAGAATAAAATATAAGAGATATGGTTCATTTCACTTAATTTTTTTTATATTAATGCAATATTAGTTATGAAATAGCCAATAGTGACAAGAATGACCCACTTGTGCATCGTTTTATTTATTTACAATTTTTTGCGAAGGTCGGAACCTTGTTTCTGATATTTTAAAGACTATTCGATATTAGAATTATTTAAATACTTTTAGTAAATAATAATTTTATTTTAAATGGTAAATTTATGTTCTAATTTTAATGAAGACCATACGAAAAATTTTACTGGTAAAAGCTATAGTTTTAGAATTAACCAGGATCCGTCCTTATAATTTGAAATCTATTCGATGACTAAATACTTATGAAACATATATAGTAGATTGTTCACCAAGGGTGGAGAGAATCAATGTCCGAGGTAGGTAGGCTATGGTCCGAATTGGAATTAATTCTTTTACACGAGGTGAACACTCTACTTTTCATTTCGAATAAATAAGGAAAACAAAACTAGTAGTTTATCTGAACTAAGTATTTATTGATAATATATAATATTTTTGAATATGGTATTCGCGTATTTGTTGCGGCTTATTCCGCTCAAAGAAGTTCGCGCCAAAGAGAATGCAATATCTACTAGTTGCGCTAAGTAAGTTCACACTGGCTGTTTAGAAATCGCATGGCCTCAGCATTTTTTGTTATTTTTTACATATAATGTCATCGCTGACAGTAGTTGTATTTTTGAAATTTATTCCGGCCCTTGGGTGGAAGGTAATTTGCATGAGTTTTTTTTAGGGGGGGAAAAAGCATTTTCCACCCTATAATCAGATCAAAACAACACTACTTTCCGAGTAAAAGAAAAAGACTTTATACTGTTAGAATTTTTATAAGAAAATTTAAGGTCTTAAAAACAATAATTATATCATTTTGCTCTTATATAAGAATTAAAATTTGGAAGATAATTTGAGAAGAATACAAACTGTTATAGAGTCAGTGGTGTTCTAGTCGTTAAAAAGGCCCGCCTCTCATGCACGAGGGCGCGGGTTCGATCCTGGCCCGGGCAAGTACCTACCAATGTGATTTTTCCGAGTCATATGTACTTTCTAAGAGTATTTAGACATCACTGATTAATGCTGATTCCCAAAAGAGGGTTGATGTCAGGCAGGCGGCCAGTCGTAAAAATAAATAGCCAAAATTATTCATAACATGTAAGGCAGACCGATTCTATAGCTGGGAAAATGCCAGGTAGAAGAAGAAGACAAACTGTTATCGTTTATTTAAAATTTATTACATACCTATATACAAAAACATTGAACATTCTGGGTAATGTTTATTAAAAGAAAAGAGGTGGAGTAATTTATTATGTCTTCGAAAAGCATAGGTAAGTCATGTTACGAATTCAGTTAAGTAGCTGTATTACCTATATTTACATTCTAAATCAATGTTCAATCACATGGTACTTACCCGATATTTTATTTTCAAAAATCTACAACACAAAATGACCAATACAAAATAACCACAAGTCGTGTAATGAACAAAGCAAGGATCTGGCTTTTTATAAAAATGATAGCAGAAACTCAATGAAACTGCTAAATTGAGAGTTTTGTTTACTCTTTCGTCTTTCCGACTTATATAAGTTTAGAACTTGAACGAAGAGATAAGAAAGTTACTACACATTTTCTTTACTAAGGAACATTTACGAAAGTTTTGTATGGTAAACATATTAGAGTACTTAATTTTCACTATTAAATAGTAGAGAAAAGAAGTTTATTAGTAGATATAAATATCAAATAATGATTGAAGTTGTTTTATTCTGACAATTAGTTGTTACTTTTAAGTTTTAAGATTAACACACTATGAAGGGATAAATGAATTTAGTGACCCGATTCCCCAAAAATCATTGTAAGTGTAGATAGATTGTTGTATACCTCAAGGGAATTAGAGGGACGGAAACATTATTATTTATTGATGTTGAATGCTATATGAGGAGTAATATAGGTCTTTGTTCATTCCCATTTATCATCTGAAATGTGGATATGTGGATGTGTACGGATATGTATATGTAGGAATATAAGATAAAAATGGATAGAAGGATGGGCCATAATTCAAGGCATGAAGTTCTTTTAGACTGAATAATAGTTGAAATCGGACATAATTAGTCCAAGGACCAAATTACAACACCAGAATAATAATTAATTCGTTTTCACAAATTAATTATCCAAAGAGTCAAGGTTAACAGGCTAAGTACAACTAGTGCACCGCGCCACGTCAGAGCCAAGACTCCTGTAGAATAATCGCGCACGTCAATTATACAGCTAGTAGTGGGGAGAGTGGGGCATCGAATCACGCGCTCGGTGGCGTGATCGGTGCACGTGTTGGTTATAGTTATGGTTAGTTGGCGCGCTAGTGCCGACACGGCCATGCTGACATGCGTGCGCCCTCGCACGCGCCTCAAATATCGTTCGACTATCCTGACAATATTATAGTGTCTGGTTCGGTCCACACTGACCCTTCAGAGTTATGGTAGTTAGTTCTGATCCGTCCTGAGGTCCTTTGCTAGACCGGAACTAGTATTCCCTATAGCTTTTGCTAGACCGGAATTACTATTCCCTATAGCCTTCATGCTGGACCGGAATTATGATTCCCTACAGCCACACGGTTGGACCGGCGTAAGCCCTTCAACTCTCTGCCTTCTTTTTTTTACTCTTTTTTTTTACACTTTCTTTTTTTTTACTTTTTTTTTAAACTTTCCTTTTTTACTCTTTTTTAAATTTCTTTTTTTAATCTTTTTTTTTACTCTCTTTTCTTAAACTTTCTTTTTTACTTTTTTTTAACCTTCCTTTTTTTGCTTTTTTTTACTTTTCTTTTCTTTTTTTTACTTTTTTTTTATATCTTTTTTTTAACTTTCTTTTTACTTTTTTTACTCTTTTTTTTAACTTTTTTTTTTCTTTACTCTTTTTTATTTGGGTCTTGACGCTCTTTTTTTTATTAGAAAATCAGTGAACGATGACCCTGACATAGACTCTAATGAGCTAGACCGTTCATCTTCACAAGCTTATCAAAGTTTAGTCCGGACGTGGACTCTGGAAGCCATTGACAGGCAAAGAATTGATGCCCTCTGCCCCATCTGGGGGACAGGATTTAAAAGAGAAAGAAGAGTTGGATTAATAGGATGCTGGTTTAAACTATCTGTTAATTTTAATAAAATTGCTTCCATTCCAAAAAAGACTTTTTTTTTTGCTTTTCAATGCAGTTAGTTTGATTATGAGATGGAGGTGGATCGCTATCCCACTTCTGATGTAGAAATATAAGATAAAAATGGATAGATGGATGGGCCATAATTCAAGGCATGAAGTTCTTTTAGACTGAATAATAGTTGAAATCGGACATAATTAGTCCAAGGACCAAATTACATACAACACCAGAATAATAATTAATTCGTTTTCACAAATTAATTATCCAAAGAGTCAAGGTTAACAGGCTA